GATCCTAAATACATGCTTAATTTTCGGGAGAACTTCAGAAAGCATGCTTTCTGCTACACAAAGTAAGAATTAAATGCAAACCTTAAAAGAAATTGTAGCCGGGGAGGATTTGCCCCCCCCCTGCTTCAAGCAATGCCTGAGGTTAACCTTACCTGGGTAATGCACGCTCCAGTGAAAGCCACAATCACAGCCACGATGTTCACAGTGAGCTGGAACTGCAGGAACTTGGAGATACTGTCATAGACATTACGGCCCCACATTACAGCCTTCACAATGCTACTGAAATTGTCATCTGTTAGGATAATATCTGAGGCTTCCTTTGCGACATCTGTACCAGCAATACCCTGGAAAAAATTAATGGTGAATAAAATTATCTCCTGGAAAGTACAAAGACAATTAGAACACAGATTTCTGTGTACTTACTCAAAGACCACAGTTACACAGACACTCCCCAACACAGTAACAGTGACTGCTGAGTATATTCTGCATTTTATATTTGCTAGGTAACTGGTAAATTGAGACTATTTTGAAAATGAACAAGGAGGTGGAACAGGGAGCTGACAGAAAGCAGTGGAATTCACGTGATAAGATAGTGTGTTTTAAATTGTCGGTTTACTGACTACTGAATTTCTGCTTATGCTCTTTTTTATTGTTGATGATCTTAATTATTAATATACATGAACAGAATCACTAGCACAAATTAGAATTACATATATCTGTATATACAGTAGAATATTAATATGTCTTCAGAGCCAGAATATGTTGAGAAGGTAACTTCTGTATACATGCAATAGCATATAGCAAAAGCAATAGATTTTACCAAATCAAAATAGTACTCAACTGCTGTGAAGAACACGGAGTTCGTTTTTCTGAACTGGCATAGGATTCTGCATATATTCAAAAATTACCTTAGATAAAATACTGAAAAAATATCAAAACAAGACCTCTGAATTTATCACTGTAAATTAAAGGATTCTGAAGCAGCATAGCCCGCTCCTTCCAATTTATTGCTTCACTGAACAAGTAGTAAGTAACCTTCTCAACATTTCATGAATGAAGAAACTCTGTGATGGCAAGCTTATGATGACACAAACAGCAATAAATATGCTTAAGATTATACCATCGCAAAGCCAACATCAGCTTTTTTAAGTGCTGGTCCATCATTGGTTCCATCACCAGTCACAGCTACAACCTGCCTCTGTTCCACCTGTGTGCTGTCAATAATACCTGCGAAAAAAGTATATGTGTGTGTATACATACATACATATAAAATAATTAGCAAGATAAACCTTCCTTCTAAAAAGTAGCAGGGTTTGTGTAACATAGCCTGCAAGTCCTACAGAGATTAATGGAGTTTATTCTTAGGGAAAACAATGATGAAAGCAGTGTCATCACTACTATACACTACTAGACATCACTGCTAGAATTTATTTGGAAAGGTTTGATCCTGCAACATTAAAACATCAACAAAGCTTGCACAGACTTCCAAGGAAATGAGATCACCTCATAATGTTCTTGAAGATTTCTACTATTTAAAATTATGTGTCCCAGTAAACCCATTTTAGCCCAGCTCTCTGATGAAACTTCAATAGACGTATTTTGCTGAAGCCTGAAGTTCATGCTTAAAGCTTTCCTAAACTCTCTTAACTGTAATATCTGCTTCATTGGGGTGTCTTCCAGGAATCAGTTTAACCATAAAGATAACAAACGGCATTGATGAATTTTATTTAGCTGGAGCCAAATTAGCATTTTAACAGACATGTTCAGCTCTGCCAAACAATGATCAAGAAGATATATTCTTTAAATTCTGGAGTCATACATTTTAATACAGTAGTCATAATAAAATAATTTCCACTTTCTTTCGCCAAAGAATCCCAAAGTTAATACACTTTAAACACTTAATGAATCAGATTTCACCCAGTTGGCACAAAGGAAAGTATTCCCCACTTACGGAAGTGGGTAAAGTAAAGATTAAATAGCATTTCTAAGGTCACAGAAGCAGCTCTGTATTTTAATTGGGTGGGGACTCTTCTCCACTCATGTTTTATTTCCATGTCAGTCCATTTGTCAACTGCATATAGGGATACAGGATTTCTGTGCAAGATACAGGAACATCTCTCTTTGTTAGCAACTTAGTAAAAGGAATTTTGTCATTTTTCCCCCAACAAATTTTTCACAAAGTTGTATCCCCTCATAAACAATTTGCAAAACCTACCCAGTGTGAAAAGCTCTTCTACTCTGGAAAAAATAACTCATATATGAGATAACTAACTAGGAATAGAAAATTGCAGATTAGGGAGCAAGAGCTGCCTTTTGGCAAAGTTCAGGCTTATCAGGTACCCATAAGATTTCAAAGCAGTACAGAGAGGCAGTAAATGCCCTGTATTTTTCCAGTCTTATGAAAATGGGGGGGGGGGGGGGGGGCCACCCTTTCCATTGGCAGTATGAACTCTCATAAATGGCATATTATTCTGATAAGGTCCTTATATTTAGAGTTTTCAGTTTGTTGGGGTGATCTGCCTTTGGCATTACTAGACAAACAGGAACATCAGCTGCACTACTGTTTAAACTATTTATATTTGTCTTCACTTCTTGTTATTAGCACACCCTTTGATGTTAAATTAATATCCTAAGCGTCTGAAGAAGTAACTTAAAACCGTGATGCACCATGCTATTAACAGCTCCAAATAGGTAAAGAGCAGGAGTTTGAAAAATCGGTCCCAGTTCCCCCGCTTCATGTTTGCTTTGAACCTCTCTCAATTGGATCCCAAATGGCAGCACAGCCCAGAGGAAGTTCAAAAGGCACGAACAAATGACCTCCGAATGGGTAGAAATAGTGGCCTAGCGTCAGTGATCACATTACTCAACTGCTGTGCATCAGGCATTTACTGGATGCTGCTGAGTCATTTATAAGGTTTAGTAGTCATTTACAAGGTTTATTTGTCATTTTTATCCATAAAAGCAAACGGGGCAGCTGTGATAAGCAAAAGCACCCTCCAGAGCACAGAACTGCATAATCGTCAGTCATAGAAAGGCAGAGATGAAATGGTGTCTCTTCCTATCAGCATCCCAGCCACACGTCTCCAGCTAAGCGAACACTAAGTTGCTAGTACAATTAGAAATATGTCAAATGTACGGGACAGAAGTATCTGGATGGACTTAAGTGCTGTTCATAGGGAAAAAAAAAAAGATCTTCAAGGAACTTTCATTTGTATGTTAGTCACATTTCTAAAATGGACCAGTAGCAATTATTTGGGATTCCGAGGATTCACCATAGCCATTCATAATCCCCCTCCTCGCTGCTTCCTCACATTTTTGAATGAGTCTTTTTTCGAGAAACTTCCTCTTTCCTTATGTTTCCACATTTTCTTTCCTTTTTTTCCATATCTATCTGTTAACAGCTGTGATAAGGTTTCATCTCAAGAATTTTCTTCAGTACTGTGTTAATATGTGTGCATATATTTTATAGATAGTGTAAGGAGAGAAAAACAGTCATGCCTAAGGAAGGTTGTCGCTCTGCAATCTTGAGCTATGGAAAACAACTGCCTCAGTGATCAGTGAAGAATTTAAATAAGGAGATGACCTGACAGACTGCCAGTGAAGAGAATGCCCATTTCTTTACCGTTCACTGGCCTTTCCACTCATTCACAACAGCTAAAAAGAAAATTCAGTATTAATTAATCATGTCCAAGTGCCAGGACAATTCTTCAAGGTAACATTATTTACTCCCGTTGAAGGCTTACATACAATATTTAATAAAAACAGGTCTGCAAGGTACAGCAGGGGAATTCCTGAAACTCAGCAAAGCTTCTTCCCAAAACAGCCTTCACTGTCTCATTGGTCGGTGCTCTTCTCTTAAGCAGTCTGGCAACAACTTTTCTCTGTCAAAAAGAATTTTTTTCAAGAGCTGCAGAAATGCACCTAGAGCATAAAACTGCAGTATGTTCCATACAGATTGCGCTGATGGTGCAGAAATTAGGGAAGAAAATAGAGCACCTTTTATAAGGCATCAGTTTTTCAGAGTAAGGCAACTTGTTTCTTATGAGCAAAAAGAGCCTTTTTTTTGTTTAAACAACTATATATAGCTATCAAGAGCAGCACCTCCATGCACAAGCCTGCTATAAAAGATACCAGCGTTGCATACACAACTAAAAGGGAAATACATCATAAACCTCCCACCTTCCTCCCATCTAACATCAAGCAAATGTTAAATCAAATCAGTTCTGGAGAATACTGTAAAGAATGGTAATCAACAATGTTTCTTCCATTTCTTTTACAAGGAAACTCTCTATACCCATCACTCATATCAAAAATGTCAAGTGCAGCCTCAGGGTTCACTTTCTTGTAGAGTAAATACCACTTTATTTCAACAACGCTTACTTGCACAGCCACCCTTAGAGTCACATCAGCAAGAAACTGTTGGTTTGGGGAGGAAAAAAAAAAGCCTGGTTTAGATGTCTCTTCCTGTGTCTACTGATTAACTCAAAACACAGGCAGATGGGGAAAACTTAGCAACATTAAAACACTCGGAGATGTAATCTTCATCAGTTCAGGTGTTATTGATGCAGGATAGTGGGTCATCCTGTACGTTTACACATATGTATCTTTCTTCGGCAAACTAAACATAGACAGATACAGAAATATATTTTCATATGCAGGATCTGTTCAGATTAGTTTCTACCACATCCTAACTTTTTAATTTCCTTGGTAGTCTAACAAGAGTTTGAGATATCTGTCTGAAAGAGAAAAATTAAATTCAATTTAGTTACATGCTTAAGTATGTTCAGGAAGAGATCTTTACAGGTGAATATAAAAAGTAAATACAAGATTACAGACAGAATTGGTAACTCTTAAGTGAATAGTGTTCCACAGAGTTCATGATATTAGAATACATCAGAGAGAAACATGGCTAAAATGCATGGATTTCCCTACTGAAGGTGCGTCAAAGTGCTTTGTATTATATGACTGAAACATAAAAGGGGAGCCTTGAAAGCATCAGGGTCTCCCACAAAGTGAAGACTTAACACAGACTTTTTTAATGAAATAATCATTCCAGCCTAATTTAAAGATACTGGAAATCACTGTTCCCTTAACAAGTAAACTGAGTTTGTCTTCTCGATAAAATGATGATAATATCTCAATCAGTATTAAGTAGTTGCTTCCTGAATTATTTTTAAAAACAATATTAAAGTGTTGGAATATCTCAGCAATATCATTGCAATAACACATGAGAATAAGTGCGATGCAGTAGTATGTTGAATTAAGGTAAATAATTCCAATGAACTTCTTAAAGTCCACAAGAAATTGTTTTTCAGTTGGATTTGAGATATTTAAGTTAAACCTTTTTAGTTTCACTGAAACACTTTGTGATAATAAACCATTTTGACAATTTTTTTTTAAAGCTACATCTATTTCAAAGCCATAAATATTTGGGAGAAGGCTATCTGCCCAACCTGAAATGCTGAACAGTGCCTTTCTCTAGTCCCTTAACAGTCCTGAAAACAAAAACGCAAAATAAAAAAGATCCTTTTGCTGGGTGGGATTGTGCTGTGTCAAAGAGAAAAAATATTCCCTCCAGCAGCTGTATGTCATTAAAAATTAAATATAAAAAAAGTTTATTTTGTGATGTGTGTTTTTGCCCTAAAGCAGACAGGATACCTCAAAGAGGAGAAAATCCTCTTGATCCCTTAAGTGTCTGAGAAACACACAGCATTTTAACAACAGGGCCAAAGTAGTGAACATTTAAATAGTTTCTTGTAACTTTTAATGGCCCTTGGAGTATTACAAACCAAAAAAATTCCATCGTGATTTCCACAGATTTTGTTCTTGAACTTCATTAGATAATTAATTGCTCTATCATTGCACCTTGTTGCATCTCTAAAACTTTAATGGTAATAATTACATAAGGCATTCAGTAGTAGTAAATATTTTTTGGATTATCAAAATGCACATGCTATAAAACTTATCAATAATTTGTCGCCCATTTCTCTTCAGCTATTGATTTCATTTAGTCTCACAATGGTTATATTTTCCTCTTAAGGGAAAATCTTCCATGATTCAAATGAGTACTCCCAAGAGACTTATTTTATCCACTTTATGAAACAAATTGTTGTGTGCTTCTGAAGCAAGTAATCTATACGAGGCTTTACAAGTCATGTGCTATATGAGCATAAGATAGTATTCTGCCTGCTTTAGAGTGAAGAGACTTCAGCTAACTTTGTGCTGTTTTAATTCTGAGCTGTGGAGTTGTGTTGCCTAAATAGCATCTGCAGGAACTTATAGGGTCTTGAATGAGTAACAGCTGCATGTCTCCAGCTGCCCCTCCCGTTAACTATGCCAGAGCCATAAGATACCTCATTTCTCCTGCATGAGCTATGTTTCCGGAGCTCTGCACATACACTGGGCCCAATCCCAAAGGTACGCCAGTCAGCATGGGAATTGTCTCCAGGCTTCAATCTTTAAGTGGAACTTCTGCTCTAAAGTCATTTAAGCATTTTCAAAAATTCCGTCCAACTCAAAAGCTGTTGTAATCAGTCACACGTGGAGTCATATCAATACAACTTTGTCACCCCAAAAGGATAGAGCCATAAATCATTTCTTACCTAAATTTGAATCATTAAGTAGTCAACTGGCTGAAAACATCTTTTCATGGCCAGAAATGATGCTATCCTTAACCATAAATTTTCTAGTCTAATAAATTGGCTTTTAAGTATGAGCTTCAAGGTCAACAAAATAAGATATCAAGCCAACAAGAAGTGTGGGTTACAGATTTGAATACGGCTATGTAAAGAACATTGCAAACACATCCCTCTTTTACAGGAGCATTGCATCTGCAGATGGTGTGGTAAGAAAACATGGTTTGAACAGTGCAGTTTTTATAGGACAAAACCAGATTCTAAAAATACATCCACAAATCTAAAGGAAGCCAATGCAAACTGTAGAACTGGATAAGCCCACAGGAAAATGGAATCATCTTAAACTACATATCTCCTTGCAACTAATGCCAGAAAGGACAGCTCCTAGTCATGTGATGTCAGAAAGCTGCTTTTGTAACATGAAAAATTTTTGTCTTAGAATGCTATTTTAAAATAATCGTCTGAGAACAGATGCACAAAAACTTGAGTACTGGTGATTTACTCTAAATGAGCTCGTTTTTGTTTTCTTCATGAATAGGTATATGGAAAGATGAGAAAACCCATCCTCCCTCTTGCCTATATGAAGAGCAACCCATTTCTCATTCATATTTTCCCTCTGAGCAGAAAACACACTTTTTCCCTTCCCATTGCGAGCCTCAATCTACTCCAATGAAAAGGCACAAGGAAAATAAGAGATTACATCCAAGTGCCACATGTCTTATTGATGTTTCTGGTATTCCTGACAGCGAGTTTCCTGTTATTTCCCAGTTGAAGGTTCAGGTTAAAAAAACAAACACAAGGCACTTGGCTGCCAAGAAAATTTGTTTGAATTACATATACCACATTGATGTGTTATTAAAAATATGAGCTCAGATACAGTTTTAACAGTCTACAGTGCAGAAGACAGTCAAGCATACCTTGGTAAGTTTGATGCTATTTTACGCACACTCACACATGAAGGTTGTATGCACTCACCTTTTACCAAAGTGTGTTTGTCAGTGGGAGATGAGCGAGCAAGCACTCGCAGCTTTGGCCAGATTTTGTCAATCCGTTCTTGCTCAATCTGAAAATAACAGTAGAATTCTCAGTTTGTGATAAGCAAAATGCAAATATATTTGTGTCCATGTGGCAGATGATTCACTTCACTACTCGGATCTAGAACTTTTCTCCAAAAGCACAGAACAACTTACAGCAGTAAGTACTGAAATGGAAGGCTAGGTCAAAAGAAAAACCAGTTTTCTACTAACTAAAATCAGTTATAGGTCAGATGCGGCGCTGTATCCAAATAGCTTTTCTTATTGCTTTTATGGATAATTCCCCTCAGAAACATGACTTTAGATGTAAGACAGTGAAGTTCCTCAAAGCTGATGAAACTCGTTTACAAGTAAGAGCGTTATTAGGTGCTATCCTACTACATTCTACATAAGAATCCAACCGCATTTTGTCACCAACAGCAGCAGGATTTTGTCTGTTTAACCATTAGTGATAAGAACAGATCTGATACAGCATATATTATGTTGCCAGGAGCCTGTCAGTCAGTTGCAAGGAGTAAATGACTGTCCATTAGTGATGAGCTCGAAGATAAAGCACAGATAAAGCACACTTTTTTAAAATGTGCTTCAATAGCCTATATGTTGGCTCTGTATTTTACCAGAAAAGCTAAAGATCTCCTGAAGAATCGGGTCAGTAGACTGAGTGGATTTAGCAGTATGTGGATTAGATAAAGCGGTATAAAATAAAGAAATGAGAGTAGTTGGTTTTCACTATGGACTGCATTTTTTAGGAGATGTAGACATACAACTATTGAGTTCTTTCTCCTCTTTGCCAACCAAACTGTTCTGAATGTGCTTAGTTGTAATTACATATAGACCAATGCTGTGGTTCTAAAAACTGCTGAATGAAGCTCGTACTAAACTGGTAATAGCTCTGCACAGACAACTTACAAATGCATGAAATGTAATGACTAGATTTTCAATGGCAGTTTAATTACAAAAGGCTACCGCTAGAAAGAAGCACCAGTATCTCAGAGTAGTCTTTACTGAAATGAGATACACATTAGTGCAAAAGCAACAAAATTTCAGTGTTCTTCCTGTTTTTTATAACATACTCATAACATGTATGGCTTTAGAATACGCATTACCTCCCCCTTCTCATTTCGAATCCTTCTGTTAAAATCTTTCCCTTCGAGGCAGAGAAAGTCTTCTCCTGGATGAATGATCCCACATTTTATGGCAATGGCACGCGCTGTATTGATGTTGTCTCCAGTGACCATGCGGACTGTAATTCCAGCTCGCTGGCACTTTCTTATGGCTTCAGGGACCTACAAAAGCAAAATATCGGGGAATGAAAATTCTTAGACATGAGCTAGAACGTAACCATCAGATATTTCCCCACAGAGTATTTTGAAGTTGAGAAGCTTCAAGAAACAAAAATAGAGGTCGTACGTACTATGGCTGCCTGACTTTTATGCAATTGAGGTTACACCGCAGGCAAGACAAATCTTTTAGGGAGAGTACAAAGATTGTTTTTCAAAACAGTTGCCTAAAGATTCTCCAGACTTTAATAAAAAGCAGTCTCTGTAGCTTTTTTGGGCCTTCAGCATCAAAGTATAGCATGCTGAAATAAACATTTTACAGATACATGAAAACATGAACTGAACACACATGCATTTTTCAAAAGAAAAATGATCTACCTTCTGATTCAAATGTTCCTTTCCATAAGATTATCTAAAAAGTCATTATAATTTAGCACCATACAATAATTCATGCATATCATCAGGTGAAATTCCTAAATATACATGAGTTTAAAATTTTATGAATCATTTACATATTTATTTCAAAACTGTGAGAAGGAGGCATGCTTTTAGTTATGCTCCTTTCAGTACAAGACTGACTTTTCCTATTGCACACTACACAATGCACGAATTTAATGTATAACAGGGTCCATCAGAGTAATGTAGGACTAACATTGACTTGGCATCACATACAACTTTTTTTAAAATAAAACAATTTTTTGTAAAGAAAATGTGCACATGCTAGGAAATGGATTCCTATTAATTAAAGAAAGCTCTTTTAATACAGCTACCTCAGTATATGAAGTAAGTGCCAATAGAAAGGCTACATATCTAGAATTCAGTGTTGCACAGAAAATAAATTCAATTCTCTTAAACTATATTATAATTAGTGATAATTTATTATTAATTAATCACTCCAATCAGTGAATGCAGTTTCATCACACTTCTGCATCATTTTGAAAGCATTTTTCTTCAAGAAAAAACAACAATATTCTTTGGCATGCATGACTAAAATTGTGTTTTAACGCTTCATGAACAGTCTAGAGTGTATGATACCTGCAGTACTGCACCGCTTCTCCTAATTTCCATTTTTACCTAGGACAGGCTAAGTGCATCACAGGACTCCTCCTAAAAACGGAAACCCATCACAGAGCTACAAGCAGCTGAACTGCCTCGCCAGAAGACTACGGCAAAGGCCCGATATAACACGGTCAGGCTGCACCTGTTGTGACCTGTGGGGAGGCACTTGAGTAGAGAAGTGGCAGTCTGTTCAGCTGAGAGGGAAAAGGTTCCCTGAGGATGAGCACGACTTGGATAAGTGTCTGGATATTAGGCAGTGATCCAAAGTAAACTTCCAGACAACGTGAAGGTTATCCCACTAGTTAAACCAGCTCCCAAGACCTAGCCTGAGCTTGCAGCTCTGCAACGTTGCCTAACTTTCCCAGTTTATATATGACACACATAAAGCCATATTTGAATAAATTCCCAAAATACATATACTTGACCACTGACTGCAAATTGTTGTTTTATTACCAGCTGAGCTCCTGCAGATGACATACTGACGTAAATAAACTAACTGGATTGTCCGACTGCGATGAATTATGCTGATAATCCAGTGTATAGAGACACTTGATTTTCTAGAGAAACCAGTAAGCAAAGGATAAGATTATTAAAAGAATTTTCACTTAAACATAATTTATCAATAATTTTCACAACAGACAAAATATTATCCTATTTAGTTTAAGAAAGGGTACCAGAATAGAGATTACAGGCTAGAATAATAAAGCCTTGCTCTGTTCTCCTGCAAGTTCAGCGCAGCTTGCTCATCACAACTTTCACCACAGATACAAGTGTTGTAGAGCTCAATGCAAGCTAAAGAGTGGATTAATCTCATTCAATCTCATCTCATTTCTAATGCAGAAAACGTTAAGAAAAGGAGCCACCGTGTACCACACGGCACTGTTAGTTTTGTGCTTTGCTAGATACTTTTATTTTCTCTAGAGCTGCAAGCAGGGGCAGGACGTTGCCTTTCACTTGGTGGCTACCGTTGTGACCCAGTGTGGCAAGTGCTGCGCTTCTGAGGATTTCCCAGGACCAGAAAGGCTATACATCTGAGACTAAATGTCAGACTGAAAATAAACTATACACCCTTAAACCATAATTTAGATAATGATTATTCTAATCGATGAATATAATTTCACGCCATGTTTCTGCATCTTTATTAAAATACGTCATTCTCAGGAAAAACTAATAATATTCACTTGCATAATCCTATTGGAAATGTCTCCAAAACTTCTAAAGCCACCGAGAGGCTTGCATTGCGTGCGTAACGGCCCCTCTAGTCGGTGGTGTTCCTCCTCCTTCTTTAATAAACGAGAGGCAGTTCTGAGGCTTCTGTTTTCCAACATGCCTCACTAACCTCACACCTAGAGGAGGACCAGACTGGTACTTCTCTCTTGACTGTGAGGAAAATCACTCTTGCCCCTAGACTGCATCCAGAGAACGTGCTGTTTGCAGAATGACTCTGTCAGTGCAGGTTACACCAGGGAGAAAAAGCTCAAGTAAGGGACAGCAGTTTATTCTTCCCATGAGTTGTACCCCGGAAACTTTGCTTCAAGTACTGGAAGACTTATGTAACGTTATAAAACAAACTTCTGGCGGGGGGAACGTGCAAACAGATTACATGTATTACTTAAGTAAACGTCTCCTAATTTACCCAGTTTCCACATTAATAATCCTGACTGTATTTCATTTGCCGATGCGGAATGCCCTTAGGATCCACTGTAAACTGTGGGGACCCTCATGCATGGGGTATGACTATCTCTAAATCCAATGCAGAGCAAAAACCATGAAAGAGAAAAATAAATTATAGTACAAACACAAAAACTAGAAATATTCAGATAAAAGTGCCAGTCCTATTTAACAAGGTCACGGGAGGACAACCTAGTTTCAAATGCACCGCAAACTCATATATAACAAGAGAAATAACTCCATTTTCCTCTTCTCTTATTTTTGGACAGCTGGTGGGTGGTATCTGGTTGAACACTGTGTACAGTAATTATGGTTAAAATATTGTTCATATTTTTTTATTGCTATAGGGAAGAGAGAGTGTTGGCAGACTGAGTAGGCAGTGGAAGCAGACATTTTCCATCAGTTTGCAGAATGCAAGTATACATTTTTAAAAAACTGATTTTTATTTTCTTGCTATAAAGAAAACCTTTTAATGCATGTATGCATTAAGTTATCAAATGCAGGAATATAGATCAGAATCAAGTGACAAATAAACAGGTGAAATTTGGAAGTGATTCATGTTTTTCCTCCCAAGAAATAACAGATTGTAGGTGTAATTTGGCAAATTAGTAAGAGCCAGTACAGACTCATTGAAATCAATTCAAAAAGACTGTCAAAATCAACAGACAAATCTCTACAGGCACAAGACATGATCCTATTTGTTCTTTTCCTGTATACTTATCAAAAAATAACATCAATAAAGACCCAATACAAAAATATGAAGCAAAATATCAAGCAGGTACTTCAGCGCATGATTAAAAAAAAAGCTACTGATAAGGAATAAATCTGAATTTAGTCTCTGAATTAAGCAACCTAAATAAACAAGGAGGTATGCAGTACGCAGAGTAAAACTCATGGCTGTCCCCTGGTTACACTCCAGTTAAAGCTGGTCAGCTGCTGGATATTACTGTTGAATAATTCACCGAAATAATTTCTGTTAACATATCAAAGGTAACGCAAGTGTAAGAAAGCACCCTACAGTATAATTGTAACAGGCGCAGTGCTCTCACCTCTGAAACCATGCAAACATGACACCACTAACGCTGCAGGTATTCACATAGTTGAACACTCCAAGGAGTATCGGTGGCAAGAGGATACTGTAATTTTACATGTGTTAACTCCAAAGATCATGTTAGGGAAAAGGAAAAATTGAGGCTTTCCCAGTAAAAATATAACTTGAGAGAAACTAAAGGCCATGAGGCCGGTGACACTGCATTGTTTCGTTGGAATTACCTAATGTACCATTTCTGGCAGGATAAATCCTGACATCCGTGAACAGTGACAGCATTAGTTAAACTGTAGTTGGGGTAATATTGCTCATTTTAATGTTCTTTTTCTCCTATAGGAAACACTGAAAATCTGTAAAGACCAATGGTGTCTCTGTTTAATAAACGTGCTTATTTCTGGCAAAATGCTAAGGTACCTTATCAACTATTTGCAGCTACAATGGTAATTTTAGTACTGTCTAATTCCTGCTAAGTCCGATATTTCTTTGGTTTTGTTCCGTCATGGGGTTTTTTGGAGTATTTCTTTCTCCTAAGGTATTGCTACTGCTTTTTACACGTGTGGATTGGTAATAATTTAAACATTGTTATTACCACCCTAAAATAGTCAAAAGGTTCCAGGAGGAAAACTCCCCAAAACCAACGTCCTGAAACAACTGTAGCGTTGTCCAACTTTTGGTAAAATTCTGAAACGCTAAACATTTTATCGTATGTTTTGCAATGTGATAAGAAGTGTTATGGCATATGTCAGTATTAAACTACAAGATATTCACTACATTAGTCAAATAATTCTCTAGAAACTAAATAGTTTGCTGCCTTATTTGATCCTTTCCGTAGACGTCAGGCTCGACCTCCTTATTTTTAGCAGCACTATTCATTTTTACCTCAAGCTCCTAAGAAATTATTCCCTTTGAGATGAGAGCAGTTCTCTCATAAAACATACTCAAAATATTCACATGAAAGGATAGTTTGCAGCTATTTTAAATAATAACTGCAAATTCCACTGCTACCATTCCCTCAGTCTGTGATACCACCCATACCCTGACTGAAGGCTA